CGAGATACAGATACAAAAATAGGAGAAGAGAGAGAAACATAGATAGAGAAAGAGAGAGAGAAAGACAGTGAGAAAGACAAAGAGAGAGAGAGGAAGAGAGTAGGCGGGGGACAGATCGACCTGATAAGAGAGGGGGCGAGAGGATGCGAGAGGAAGGAGGGGGGTGTTGGGGGGTGGGGGTAAGGGAAGCCCAGATTACCCCCTAGATAGGCCAAGGTAGCGACAGCCAGATCTTGCGAAGGGCGTAGCAGAGAGTAGCAGATTCTTGTCTTAGATCCCGCGCAGATGATACCAAAATCGCCTCTTTACCGGGCTCGGTTATCGAGCTGGGAGTATCTGGCAACGATGTCGTATTTCTTATGTTTTTTTTTTTATGGTCTTTTGTTTCTGTTTTCGAGGTTTAATTTCTGATTATTATTTTTCGTTTGTCCTTTAATTTAATTATGTTTTTTTCTTTTTTTATGGTATGATTCGTTCATTTATTTATGATTGATATTGTTTTATCAGCTTTTTTGGTATAGTATTAATTTTGATTGGTATTTTTCTCTCTCTTTTTTAGTATATTTTTTTATTCACGAACCTCTTGATTTTTTTTGGTATTCACTTTATTTTTATCCTATATATGATTTGTATTTTTTTTTCTCTTTTTATATGGCACCCCTTTTTTAGTACACAAACACCTTTTATTTCGCTGTTGCGTACATGCAATAAATAACAACAGACAATATATATTACAGATAATAAAAAAAGAATAAAAAACAAAAAAAAGCGCAACGCAACAGAAATCAAAGCGCAATCTCGCCCCGCCTCGATCTCTAAATGCCCAGGCAGCCATGTGGCCTCCTGCTGGACAGTCTTTCAGCTGACGTACCCTAAATAATAATGACGTTTGAGGTACGTCTCTCACCTACGGCCTCCCCCCACCCCACCCCCTCCCCTCCCTCCTGCCCCACCCCGCGATGCATCCTTACCTACCCCCCTCCCCCACCCCCCGCTCCCCCTGCCCCCAATCCTCCTCTTGAAACCTCTTCCTGTATCCTTTCTGTGCCGCGAAGACGAGGATCTGGCAGTGAGGGTTTCTGGGTCAGGTTTCTCGTTTCGCTTCTCCCTGTGTCTTTTTCTGTTTCTATTAATCTATCTATATCTGTCTGTCTATCTATCTGTATATATATATAGATACATATGTTATATCTATCATATATATATATATATTATATGTACCACACCCGCACACATCACACACATTATATATATATATATATATATATATATATAATAATAAATATATATATAATTATATATGTGTGGTGTGTTGTGTTATTGTGTGTGTGTGTGTGTGTGTTGTGTGTGTGTTTGGTGTGTGGGTATTTTAGATAGAGATAGATAAATAGAAGATAACCTACTATATCTATCCATATAACCATACAATAATTCTAAATAATAACTTAATATTCTCCCATTTCCTTAACTTTCGTTTACCTTTCTCCTTTATTCCATCTTCCCTTATTTTTTCTCTCATTCACTGTCCATTCTCATTCTCTCTTTCCTCCATCTTTCCACGGCCTACAAAACCTAAAGATGTAGGCCTATGCGCAGAACCGTTATGCTGTATTGCATTTGAATAGACTCCATTATGGGGTCGGATATTGCATGCAATTTAACCTTCAATGGGTGAATTTACGTATGTGCATTCGTCTATTTATTTGTTTATTTGTTTATATGTTTATTGTTTGTTTATTCATATGTTTATTTGGTAATTCACTTGTTTTTATTAATTTGAACATTTATTCATCTATGTATTTGTTTAATTGTCAATGTATTTACTTATTATTTGCTAATGTATTTATTCATCTGTCTATCTACTTTCTCTCTTGGTTGAGTTTGTGCGTTGTTTTTTTGTTATATATTTCTTACTTTCCTTTCTTTTATTTAGTTGTTCGTTGATTATCAACAATACTAACATGTGATTATTTCTGGTGTCATTTTGCTGTTGCTATTATTAATTTTTTATCATTATCATTATCATCATTGCATTCATTATTTTTGCCACCATTTTCAGTGGAATATTTATTCAATGACAATATGCATATCATTATAATTTTTTTCCCGTTTTTTAATAATTATTCTTAGTGGTTGAGCTGGACTTTATTCCGAAATATTCTGAATGCTTTCCTATTTCATTTGTTTTATTTATTCGTTATTTCTAAAATGCTTTCGATTTCGTGTTTTCGTAGATATGAATTATAGTTGGTGTCGTTTTTTTAGGATATTTATCATTATCATTGCTATTATTAATATGTTGTTTTTTTTGTTGTTGTTGTTATTTTGTTGTTGTTATTAAATATTATTATTGTTATTATTATATATTATTTTATTATTATTATTATTATATTATTATTATTATTATTATTATTATTATTATTATTTGTTGTTGTTTTATATTATTATATTATCATTATTATTATTATTATATTATTATTAATTATTATTATTATTATTATTATATATTTATTATTATTATTATTATTATTATTATTATTATATTATTATTATTATATTATATTATATTATTGTTATTATCATCATTATCATTAATATTATTGTTATTAGCATTATTCTTATCATTATTGTTGTTGCTATTATTTTTGTTACTCTTCTTATCGTTAACATTACATTATTATTAGTGTTATTATTATTGTTCATATCATTATCATCATTACTGATATGACTGTTATCATAATATTTACTGATATCATTATCATTACTACTATTTTATTATCATTATTATTACCAGTCAGTATTATCATCATTATTATTATTTCTATTATCATTATCATTATCATTACTTATATTATTTTCATCATTGCTATCATCATTATCATAGTTACTATTATTGTTATCATTATTGTCAGAGAAAACATTGATATCATTATTATTATTCATTATTATTTTCCATAGCATTATTACTATTATCTTCTAACTGTTAATCATTTCCATTATCCTTGGTATTATTACAAACAAACAGATGATCACCATCACCATCTTAATAACGTTCTCTTTGATTTGTATGTTGTACAAAAGTTTTTTTTTTTTTTTTGCTGTATTAAGATTTTCATTATTATTATTATTATTATTATTATTATTATTATATATTATTATTATTATTATTATTATTATATTATTATTATTATTATTATTATTCATTCATCATCATCATTGTAATTATTATTATTATATTGTTATTATTATTGTTATTATCATTGTTATTATTATTGCTATTATCATTATTATTACCATTATTATTATCAACTATTACTATTATTATGAATATTAGTATCATTATCATCATTATTATCATCATTATCATTATTACTGTCATCGTCATCGTCATCATAACCATCAGCATCATGATCCTTATCATCGTCAACATCATCAATATCATTATTTGTAATATAAGTCGAAGAAATACGTATTTTTCGGAGTGATCACACACACACACAAACAAAAAAAACAAACTCATAACTTGTTATTATTAGCATCATTATTATTATTACTACTACTACTATCATCACAATCATTATCAGTATTAATGGCATCAGCATCATCATTATATTTAGCACCATAATCATTGTTATAATCAGTATTATCATTATCGTAATTTCATCAACAGCAGTATCACTATTATTACATTGATTATTATCATTATCCTTCTTATTCCTGTTATCACCATTACTACTATTACTACCATTATCATTATCTTTACAAATATCATTATCATTATCACCATCATTATTATATGCACCGTCAACATCAACAACAATATTTTTTATGAGTATCAATAGAATAGAAGTGTAACTGTTAGTAGTAGTAGTAGTAGCACTAGTAGAAGTAAATGTAGTCTAAGTAGTAGTAGTAGTAGTAAGTAGTAGCAGGAGTAGTAAATGTAGTAGGGAGTAGTATCAGAGGTAGTAGTAGTAGTAGTAGTAGTAGTAGTAGAAGAAGTAGTAGTAGTAAGACTAGTAGTTGTAAAGGTTGTAGATGTAGTAGTAAAAGTAGTAGAGGTAGTAGTAGTCATAGTAATAGTAATATTAGCACCGCAATAGACTTTCGTTCCAGATTAGGTGAATGAAATAAAAGTAGAAATAGAGAGAAAAGATTAATTTTTCATCAAAATATCGCAAACGAGTAGTGCCCGTGTTTTTTTTTCACAAATACCTGTTTTTATTTTGAATTTATATACTCCCAAACAACATAAAGTGAAGGTACGAGGGATATTTCCTACGCAGCATAAAAAAACATGCCTAGTGAAAATTAATTAGGTATGAATTATACGAATTAAGAAAATGTAAAAGAAGAAGAAAAAAGAAAAATAGCATACATACGAACGCTTCACCCAAGAGACGTAAGGAGAAGGAATATTATCATAACAACGCTAATACTTATATATTTCCTTCAATTTCTATTCTGTCTCTCTCTCTCTCTCTCACACACCCTCTCTATCTCTCTTACCCGCCCCCTCTCTCCTCTCACCTCTCTCTCTCTCTCACCCCCCTCTCTCTCTCTCTCATCCCCCCTTTCTCTCTCACCTCCCCCCCCCCCCTCTCTCTCTCTCTCTCTCACCCCCTCTCTCTCTCTCCTAACATCTACGACACAACTCCCAGAGTCCTTTGTTCAGGTCTCGTTTAATGTACTCAGGTTGGAACACTTTTTGTACCAACTTATCTGGCGCTTAACATGCCCGAGTTGCATAGCTTGGGTACTTCTGTCACCAGTGTGAACGGCGACTGAGGTTTAAAAGGGTGTGTAAGGAGGTGCTTTATCTGTGTGACGACGTTGGTTTTGGGTTCTGTCGGTCGGCTTATTCTAATATGATTGATATTGTTAATTGGTAATGGTCGTTATGAATAATATTGTCAGTTGGTAATGGTCGTTATATTGTTTTCCTTTTTTTTTTTTTTTAATTCTTGGCCCTGAGAGCCGCAACAGCCCCGGGTACTCACCCATCGCTGTGGCCACGAAGCTCCTGACGAGGTCGGCGCCGGGCAGCGGGTGCGAGCGCCTCGTCGCCTGGTCGTTGTACAGCTCCAGCATGTAGCGCGGGATGTGGGGGGCGCCGTCCCCCTCCTCCCCCGGCAGCCGGAACTCGCTCAGGTTGAGGTTGGGCGGCGCGACGTCGTACTCGTAGTCGTAGTAGTCGTAGTAGTAGTCCTCGGAGGACGAGAGGGCGGAGGCGTTGAGCGGGGCGGGCGGCGGCGGCATCGGCTTGGCGCCCGTCGCGGCCACGGCCACCATGGCCAGCAGCATGGCCAACACCGTGGCCAGGTGGGCCGCACCTCGGGCCGGGTAGGTCATAAGGCTTATCTTCGGCTGAACGGCCCGGCCTTGCCAGCCAGCTGCCTCAGCAGTGCGGCCCTCCTCCACTTCCGCACCCGCACGCCCATGACGCCAGTGCGGCCCGCGGGCCACACCGACCGACCAGCGAGGCACGCCCACCTGAGCACTAAGTATTCCTCTCTCGCGCCCACCAGGGTCACCAGCTGAGCCTTCGCGCGCCGCGGAGGCCTGGCTGCACTTCCGTCAGGGGGCTCTCCCCTGCCCCGAGCAGACCGAGGACGACCCGTCACCACGGCCCCCTCCTGCGCCGCCCTCGCCCTCCGCGTCGGCGTCAGCGCCCCTCGCCACTTCTCGCGGGACGCCCGGGTCTGCAGGCTCCGAGATCCACTTGATATTCACTCGCCAGTGCTCACACCGTCTCTCTCTCTCTCTCTCTCTTTCTCTCCTTCACTCTATGTCTAACATCCGCGTCCCTCTTATGCCCCCCTCACTCCCTCCAACACTTCAAAAAACAAAAGACAAAAGACAAAAGGAGGCGTGCGAGAAAAGTTAAAAAAAGAAGAAAAATATCGAAGCTTCTCCACGGGGGAAAAACTCGTCCGGGACTGAAGCGAGTGCGGGACGACGAGACGAGACGGAGAGAGCAGACCACACGTCTTGCTTCCAC